TGAAGGAGGACGACGAAAAAAATGAAAACCCTTGTAGTCTTTCTAGTCTGATGATGGTGTTTCCTGCACTCTCACGAGGCTGAGGGATATTGGCATCCGAGGCTGAAGGACGAAGTGAAGGAGAAGGATAATGTCGAGGAGATGGAGTCTACGAGAAGGACGACATAGAGAAAAAGGACTTGGAGAAGCAGGAGAAAGATCAGTAGGAGAGACCATGGCAACACAAAACAGAAAGCGAAACGGGCATCAATAAAGAGGAAAAAAAACGAAATTACCATAGCCTCCTCCTCCCCCTTTCACCATAGCCTCCTCCTCCCCCTTTCACCATAGCCTCCTCCTCCCCCTTTCAGCATAGCCTCCTCCTCCCCCTTCCACCATAGCCTCCTCCTCCCCCTTTCACCATAGCCTCCTCCTCCCCCTTTCACCATAGCCTCCTCCGCCGCCTTTATCCTCCAACCTCTTCACGTCAGCATCCTCATCTGCCTTCCCGCCTCTCGTCGTCATCATCATCATTTCATCGCTCCTCTCCGTCCTCTCCCTCCTCTTCGTCCTCCCATTTTATCTTCGAATCATCATTGTTCCTCCACTCCCCTTCCTTTCCCGTCCTGACCTGGAGGTAGCAGGATATCGGCCTCCACGGCTTCCAAATTGAATCTGGACATATGCAGGGCCTGACGTGGACGAGGACAACAGAAGAAACACGTGGAGGAGACAGATGACGTGGAGGAGGACAACAGAAGAAACACGTGGAGGAGAGTAGGATATTGAAGAGAAACATAGGCAGGAAAGGAGCATGGTGAAGCCAAATAGAAAGGCAAAGCCGTTTTAATAAGAGAAAGAAAAACGAAACCGCCATTGCCCCCCCTCCGCCTTTCCCATCCCGCTTCTTCGTGCTGTCAGCAACGTCCATATTCCTACCCCTCCTCCTCCTCCTCCTCCTCCTCCTCCTCAGCTAAGTCGCGGATAGACAACCAACGTAGTTCTCCGGTTGTCGTCGTCTGCTTTCTCATCCCCACCCTCTCTCTCTCTCTCTCTCTCTCTCTCTCTCTCTCTCTCTCTCTCTCTCTCTCTCTCTC